ATTTTTCTTTTGTAGAATGAAGCTCTCGGGGAATATAGGATGCTTTTTATACATGGATTTGGATTCTCTTCCCACTATCCATGGAAAATGAACAATGCTGTTAAATGAGCTGATATGCGGTCTTCCATCCCATGTGCATAATTGTGGATTAATTGTAGAATTCATAGATTCAACTCCCAGAATGTATACAGGTCTATTGTAATTGATAGCTGCTTGCTTGGGAATCTTCCAGTGCATGCTGTTTACTTGTATGATGCTACAATTGGAGACAACATACAGTAAGAAAGTAAACATGAGAACATGGAACGAATAAATGTTGGTTATTTCCTTTTTGTAAATTGCTATAATCAAAGCACAAATTGTTCAAGCCATGTGTTTTGTTACAAAACCTATATTTTCCCTTTCAGGCTGTATGGTAGGACAGCGCAATATTCACAATATTCCGCTCTGGCGATTCACCTTCATATATACAATGCGACTAATAATGTATTATCTGCAATTATCTTTCTGTGCATATTTTGAATTGTCTGCTAAATGTAATCTACTGAGTAAATAAATCCAATGTGCTGTGAAGAGCTCCAATGCAAATAAGCTTTTCTGTAATTGCAAGATAGGGAGCCAACATTACTGCACATTGCGCATAGCAAAGATACACATTATTAACTAGCAAAAGATAAATATGCACAGTCAGTCCTCATCATTTCCTAATGCAATTCTGGAGCACATCACGACACTCGCAGGGGGACAAATAAGACACTTATTAATTGTTTACATTTATTATCAGGATTATATCTCACATTTTATTTTGAAATTACTTTTCAATTGAAAGGCTAAAGGTTCACTGTACAATTAAACAAATGAATATGCAAGTTTTAGAGGGAATATATTTTTGGGCATTAATATTCATTTGTAATTGTGAGCATGATTGGCTTTAAATCTTCTCGACAAGTTGAATATATAATTTTACATTTTTATTTGATAGCATCAATATAATGCCAGAGATGACCAGGGAGTATAAAGAGAACTGTCAGATACATAAAATTGGTTTTACTTTATTTTTTTTGCACAGCATTATACCTGACTTTGCTGAAGTTTTCTAAAATTAAATGTCAGCCTTTTTTGTCTTGGTTCACACTGATGCGGTGTCGTATTCTCAGCAATTCCTGTGCGTTTCCTCCAACAGTGTCACAGTTGCACTATGTTCATTCGATCTGCTGCGGGTGTCAATGTTACGTTAACAACACCCCAAAAACAGGTCCCAAAACTCAGTGCAATTGCTTGAATCAGATTACATTGCAAAAAGAAAAGGTGTCTGCACCTTGTGCTGATGCGGTGCAATTTGAGCCCTACAAAATGAATAGATTCAGACCGCACTGCACATAATCGCTTATGATTTGAGCAGAAATGTGTTGTGATTCCTGAGCGAATCACATGCGGGTCCCTGTACTGCATCAGTGTGAACCTAGACTAAAAGTTTTAAAGAGGAACTATCACAGATGTAAAATCTCAAAGAATCAAAGGCCATATGAAAACGGACAGTTGCTGCCTTAAAGTATAAATAAAGGCATTTTTTTTTTTTTGGAGAGAGATTAGAACACCTACCAGTTTTTATTGCTGTCTGTGCCCCCAGTAAGGAGATTCACCCTCTCTAATTGTCCTGTTTACTGTTAATAATGGAAGTAAAAGAAAACCCAAATTTTGGGTTGTCCCCAGACAAAATGGGGAAAAAAGGTTTTGCCTATAGTTCTACTTTAACAATTGCTTGACTTCTGAAAAGCTGTTATTGGTGCAAAACGTTTTTGACCTTAAAAAGAAAAAAAAACATTCTCTATAGCTTTGGCGGGCTAACTTACCTGTAATGAAAGATGTTCCGTGTTGCTGGATCTTCACTGCAGGGATGTCATGTCCTCTTCCTGTCTCTGAACTTCTGGCCCTGTAGAGGTTAATAGCTTTGGGTTTTCTGTGAAGCTGCTGTGAAAAAAATTGCCTTTTAGTTCTACTTTTACAGTACTTTAAAAAAAGAAAAGCTATAAATGAATACAGTTATATCCTGTGCAGAGATTATGTTTTTCTGATCAGCATAGTTGCTGACTAGCTTCCATAACAGTGAAAGACCTAATCTCAATGTACACTGATATTAGGATAACACTGAAAAAATACAGGCATGCCATTGAGGAAAACTATTTACACACAGTCTGGAAAGTTCTTTAGCAGCTCATTCTCACAGCTCCATAGCATTCAGATAGGTCCTATAATGTAATTTCAGAGTGCCTGGTGATAGCTTACAAAAGTGTACTAATGGTATGGTCTTTGATTGCACATACTGATTGGAGATCTGTTCTTCATAGGGTTGCATGTCTGACATTTCTGCAGTCTTGGGTGTGTAAGTGGTGCTGGACAATGGTATTAAACCCAAAAGCAAACATTTATTATATTGCAGCTTATCAATTCTTAGATGTGGTGGCTGCATAGCATTTTTTTTTTTTTTTTTGTAGGTTCTTTCTTCTATTTTCATCTAGTGATCTGGCCAGTAAGTCAGTTGTTTTTCAAAAGCACAGTCTGTCCAGCAGACTGTATCAGTTTACATGGAAGAGACAAGCCACTAAACACTGGCAGGAGTAAATAAAATGATCATTTAATTTATTACTGTAAAGCCTTTGTCCCAAATCGAAAGAAAACGTTTACTGTAACTGATCATAAAGTGTGAGCTGGAGTTTGGCTTCAGTTTGTTTAGTATATATATAGCTGCTAATAAATTTAACACTATCCCCAAGATTGATAAAGCTGCTGTATGCTGTGCCTAATATGCTCATTCCTTCAGAGTTGGCTCACTAATACAGAAGGTGTGTTACTGGCCAGATCAGCAGGTGAAAACAGAGGGGAAAAAGTCAAAGATAAGAAAACTGATTGCAGCCACCACATCTAATGACTGGTAAGCTGCATTATAATACATTTTTGCTTTTGGGTTTAATACTTATTTAAAGTGCTTCTGAAGTCAGAAGGTGTTTTACCTTCCTGCATTCCATGCAGGAAGGTAAAAAAAATATTTTGGTTGCAGCTACCCCACCCCACCCCCACCCCCAATACTTACCTAAGCCCCATCTTGATCCAGCAATGTTCATGAGAGCTGTGGCTCTCCCTGGACTCTCTCCCCATATTGGTTCACACAGCAGCAGGGGCCATTGGCTCCTGTTGCTGTCAATCACAGCCAGTGGGCCAATGAGGAGAGAGCAAGGGGTGGGTCCAAGTCACGCTATCTGTGTGAATACTCAATGTACATTCACAGGAGCATGGCTCGGGAGTGAGCCTGCTCAAGTGCTCCCATAGCAAGAGCCTTGCTACAGGGGGCACTTGGCAGGGGGAGGAGCCAGGACTGTGGGAGGGAGTCCCAAAAAGAGGAGGACCGGGGCTGCTCTGTGAAAAACCATTGCACAGAGTAGGTAGGTATAACATGTTTGTTGTTGGGTTTTTGTTTTTTTGTTTGTTTTTTTTTTTTTGTTAATTTTAACCTTTAGGGCCAGTTCACACTACATGTGTATCGGTTGATTTTTTTCTGCATCCAAAATGCCCAGAAAGTAGGTTTTATAGTTGTCACCGTCATAGTTCACGTCAGTGCTTGCAGTTCCAGTGAATTCTGGTTGCAGAAAAAACGTAGAACATGCTGTATTTTTTCTGCACAGAACTGTACTGGATCGTGGTAAAATGCACCAAAATTGAACAAAAAGAGGGGAAAAAAATGAACTGGAATGCATAAAAATGCACCGAAACGCATCAAACACGCGCATGCGGAAACACATCCGGAACGCATCTGGACTGCGTTTCTATAGTGTGAACCGGCCCTTACAATCACTTTAAGGGCTTACGTGTAACCAGAGCATCTGTTGCTGGACTGTTGCTGTGAGACTTGTTAGAAAGCAAGAATGCGATGTGCAGGGTATGCACTGACATTAGTTGCTGTCTAATTCTGTCCATGAAATATGCTACAACAAACAGAATGTCAAAGCATACAATTAGTTAAATTGTGCTTTTTGGGTAATTTTTTTTCTGTCTATGTCCCTCTGGGAGATTTCGTTTCTTTCTGTCCTTGTGATGCAAGAGGAAATCTCTCCAAAAGTAAACAGAATCCCCATCTTAGAGAGTTGTAGTTGGAGTGGGTGCTCCCATTGAAAGGCTATTAGTCAACTTTTGCCCTGAGGACAACTCAGATGTTTTGGATTTCCTCTCCATTTCTGTCTTAGTAACAATGGTCAAATGGAGAGGTAAATCTCCCCAATGGGGGATAAATGTTACACTGAGTTATGAAGAATAGTGTACTCTGAACTGTATGTGATCACATCCCTGTGTATTGTCAGCTATGTGTTTGAGTACACACAGTCCTTTTGTGTTTTATATCAGAAGTAGTGACATGTATTTTATGGGGCACAGGGACAGATTATCACTGTTCTTTACTCCTTTAAATAGTTCAAAATGTGTAGCACCAGGTGTTTTAAGAATGAGATATTTGAATTATTAAGTAAGCAAGCATGCTATGTTAAGCTCTGCACCCGTAAGCTCTTTTTTTTTTTTGGGTCACTAGTGATGCTCAGCAATTTGCAGCCGGTAGAAATATTGTCACTTAGCTGGGTGAATGCTAACTCGTTTTATGAAAGTATTGTGTTCCAATGAAAATATAAATGCACATCATTTTTTCCCTGACTCTCCACACTTACTAGAAGAGTGGCATCGGAGCTGGAAACTTCCATGTGGAGCTAAGGACAGCAGATTTCCTTATTGCTGTGTCTGTCATTTGTTTTGACAGCGCTGCTTAATGATGCACTCCTGTAGTGCATTCACTGTTCAAGACAAGTCTTTGCATCGCTTTGCTGTGTTTTTAATTATATCTTAGGAACACAAGCCACTGTGACTGTCACCATTGCCTTGTTAAAAAAAAAAAAAGATACATTTCAAAAATCGGAAGTATACGTGGTGAGCAACATACTATCATTTTTTTGTCATTAAAGGAGCTTCTTCTGTCTGGCATGCCTGAAATTGATGTGAATGACTGGATGAAGAACACTGAATATACCAGTGGCTATGAGAGAGATGATCCAGTAATCCAGGTAGAGTACTTTAATAAGATATGCATAGTCATGCAACTGAAAATATATGGATTTAGATTTAATATGCATAATTTCTTCATACTTGAGCGAAAAGAACATTTTTAAACAAATATGTTTACTGATGTGTAGATTACTAGTCACGGTACACAGGAACCAAATCCTTATGCATACCAATAGTTTACAGTGCAAGTCGTAGCAAGTATCACAGTAAACACTTGGATCAGACTGCCTAAGAACCAAAAAAAGACTACTTTTTGTTGAAATACAGAACATTTTTCTTCTAAAGGTTTCTATATGTATGAAGATTAGACAGCCTAATGCAACCTGGACATGGCTAACAATTTAACAGATTTGACTATATAAGGTCATGATCAAATCTAGACATTTGGCTAAAGCTAAGTTTCAGAATTGTGCTGAGGACAATATATGTACCAAAAGAATAATATTTTGAAATAACAAAATATATATGCAGCGCTCTATAAATCATATAAAAATAATCAAAACAAAAAGTCCATCAGTAAAGTCCTTTTTGAAATCACCATGTGAGTTGAATTTCAAATAAAACCACCACGTGACTGTAAATAAATTTCCAAACAGTGCTGTGCTCCCCCTTTAGGTGTGCACTTACCAACTTTATTTGCCTCCCACTCTCATGGTTGGCAAAAATTGCTTTGGTATAAACATATATTTCTCTAGACAAGGATGTTCACTCATATACATCAATTTTTCCTCACAATGGTTCCACCACTCCAAATCATTAGCCTCTGTAACTGACTCTCCACAGTAACTCTCCCAGAATGGCTCCAACATTCCAGATCTACAATCTCTGGTAATGACTCTCCATATCATATGAAAGAAAGGAAATAGAGACCAGACATAGTGCAGTATCATTTAAAATCATTTAATCTCTGCTCTAAGGAAACTCACTTACAAGAACAAAATGCAAGATAAGCCCAAAGATATATATCTGCCTTTGTGAAGGTAATGTCAGAGAGGGAAGACCGCACAACGCTCTCACCACTGCCGGTCCTCGCTCTCAGACAGTCCCGCGTCACTTCCGGCTCCAAAGTACGTCACTTCCGGTTCTCGCTTAGCCAATATCCGATGCGTTTCATCACTTCCAGACTTATTCATAATAAGTCCAGAAGTGACGAAACACGTCAGGGATTGTAAGCATCAATCATTGAATTTAGCACATAGAAACCATGAATAGACAAAACAAATTATACAAACACAAATAATAAAAATACATCCGGACGCATGTAAATTCACATATGGGTTACATACCACTGCAACACGCCGCTTGTATTGTCAAAAATAGCTTTCAAAGTAGCCCCCATGTGTGAATCTGGGATCCCTAAGGGCCCAATAGTTCAAGGGATACACAAGTGCACTAAAATAACCCTGGAGTTTGAAAGCCTAAAGAGGCATGCTCAATTAGGTGACCAGATGGTCAGTGTGGTGGTTTGTGTGAGAAAAATATTTAATTAGATGGTTATATCCCATAGGGAATCAAAAGAGTTAGTTCATTACACAGGTCCCAGTAGAGTGCAATGCAGGAAGAAAAAAATCACAAAATATCCTGAGCAATAAAGGACTTGGTAAATGCACTTGACAACATAAGGGAGCAGCTCATCCAACTGTGAGTATGGTGAGTATAGATAGACTATGAACAGCATCACCTTAGGGCAAGTAGCCAACCAGAAATGACACACAGTTACTTATGACACCATTTTTCTTCCGGTCCAGCTGGACCTAATATCAAGGAGGGAAGGGCGGCACATACATTATTGTTCACCCACCCGTCCACTACTGTTCCACAATTCAGTGTGTCAGTCCGATCCTCACAAAGAGTTGGCTGCTGCTCCTTATGGCTTTGTATAGGTCAAGAGTCTCTCCGTGCTCCTACCAGCATTCTGGGACACTCTGGGAAGCCAACATAGTGGATGGGCGGGTGAGCGGTAATGTATATGCCGCCCTTCCTTGGGAAGTAGCGGAGACCTCAAGGACACAATAATACTTAATACTCCTTGATATATAGATATAGTCCAAATCATTCCAAAGCACTGAGTGTCATTTTTCTCTGCTGTTCATTGCTTCTGCTATCTGACAGGTTATCCCCACTCCAAGAGATAAAAAGGTGATATGGAGTGAGCTCAAGTACACATCCTGTGATTGATATGCTCAGCCCTACATTGTTCCTGTGTGGAGTGGGAGTGTCCCTCCCCTCCAGACAGCTGTCAGAGTTCTCTTTACTGAGCTGTGTAGTGTGTGACATCAGGTCCCTGTCCCTTGCTTTGTGAAAAATCCTTTTTATCTCTGTGTTTGTAGAAGGCCGTACAGAACAAATATCTGCAGACAAACAGGTATAACTTTTGTAGCAGGATTTTTTTCATATCTGTGTATTATCTGAGGCTACTCATTTCACTCGATATTTGTAATGGTTTACAATCACTTTAATAATCTGCACTATATAAAGTGAATGTGTATAAGGCTTTAAAGATATATAGGCAATCATCGGTCCATTTGAAGATTGTAGTGGCCTATCTGGTATGTTGATCCAGGGTTTCAGAGGTCACCAGGAACATGTATGCGGAGTTTTGACCTCATGAGACTTACTGGATATCCTGACTTGTTACTCTTTTCTGACAAATACAATTCTGTAGGACAGTGAAATGGGCTCCTATATAAATCTTGCCTGTGAAGACTATCAGGGTCTTTTCACACCAGGTGCAGTGGGACTGCATTGGGTGGCTATTCCAGTGCTGTCCCACCACAGGACAAGGCACAATGTCTTTACTTCTATGTTCCTATTTCAGAACACAACATTGCAGTGGTGTACGATGGAAAAAAGTATGTACTTTTTTTTTTTTTTTTAAAGCAGTGCAAGGTAATCCACTGCCTTGCACTGTGCAGTGGCTGATACAACATGTCCATATAATCATTTGCATATGCATGTATGTCTTTTGACACTGCTGTGTTTGCAGTGCAAGCTCCCCTGCCCCCTGAATATCAAGAAAATGTTTGAATATTTGGGCACAATTAATTTTTCATTAGTCTTAATGTGCACCTCTACTCCAAAATTAAGAATTCATTAGGCACCGTTTTAGTGACTGATGAGTTCTAATGTGCAGTTCAGTCAGTCCAGCCATGATTACGATACGATTGTAGCCTGGAATTTCCTCCTACTCTCACCACATTCTACCCTGATTGTTCTGACACTATTAAAAAATATATCACTGAGGCTTGCCTGAGAATCATAGGAATCAGCAGATATATTGCAACACAAATTACCATTGTTTAACAAAGAGAATGCTGGTTGCTGATGGGTGCCGAGTTATAAAAAAGACTTATAAAACACTGTAAATACTTAAATATTACTAGTTGTTGAGTTACTACATACCAAAATTATCTGAACCCTGTTATTAAACTTCAGAAATAAAAATTCACAATTAGTTATATGTCATAACCATGATATACCATCCTTTGCTGCAGATAATTACCTGTTATTACCCTTAGATGTTGAGGTAGGTTGCTAAGCTTCTGCTTACTTTCACATTATTATGCATTTTTTTTTTTAAATAAGCAAAAAACAGCCTGTTCATACAGTGATCTACTTTCCATGTTGCAGCCCCCTTGGGTCGTGAACAACTGTTTTATGTGGAGGGAGCTCCTCTCCACCACTAAATCTTGCCCTGAGCACTATATTTCTCTCTACTTTAGCAGAACACTTGTGTGAATGCAGCATTTCAATGTAGGGAAGAAACTGACCCAAAGTAAATTGTGAGACAGATGTTGCCATGGTCTATAGTTAGCTATAGACATACAGCCTTCAAAAAAGATGGAACTTCAAGTGCATCAAATGTAAGGATAAAGCTAGAAATGTCTTTAATTTTAATTCCCAGCTCTGTGCAGATGTCTGGACAAACAGTGTGCCTTTTGCAGGAGCAGGGGATTCGGATTCTGGGAAATTCTATCTTCAAAATAATTGTGGGAAGAAGGATATGGAATTTCTGCCACTTTCAGAAAATCATGGTGTGCTGCATGTTATTTTTCAACACTAATTGTTTAATGCAAAAGCAGATCTTAACCCAAATCACTAAAATCTCATCCACTATTTAAGATTATGTGATTTCAAGTTTTTGCTGATCATGTATGATCCTAAAATTGGCTGCACCAGTGTACAGAGCAAAGTCTGGTTCTGCCATTGTCCCCACTAGGAAGCCCATCCTAATAACATTCAGCCATTTCAGAAAAGTGCCTGCAGAGATCAGCAGTACAGGGATGCCGGAAGGAAGAAAGTTTTTGTATTTTCATTTGCAATGTTTTTATTACGTTTTCCATAAATGAGTAAGACGCATTTAAAATAGAAAAGTACACCCCGATGGCCTACCCGCTATGTATTATAAGACTTTTTTCTGACAAGCTCACGGACCCCCTTCTCACGGCTTTTAATGATCTAGGCTCTCATCCACATCATTTGGAGCATTCTTTAGAAGCTTATATTTCCATCATCCCTAAAGAGGGCAAGGACCCCACGCTGATCCCTAATTACAGATCCATTTCGCTCTTAAACATGGATCTCAAGCTATATGCAAAAAATTTGGCAAATCGTCTGCTCCCGCTCTTGCCTTCTTTAATCTCAATAGATCAAGTTGGATTCATTCCGGGGAGGGAGGCCAGGGATAATACTCAGAAAACGCTTAATGTTCACTCCTCTGCTCAACAAGGCTTTGTCCTGTCTTGATGTGGAGAAGGCATTTGACGGGGTGGCTTTGGATCATATGCGGGCCACCGTGGAAACCATTGGCATACCTGCTACCATGCTGAATTACATCCTAGCTCTGTATTCTAAGCCATCAGCTTATGTGCACGTTAATAGACACCTGTCGGATGCCTTCTCCATATCTAACAGTACTAGATAGGGTTGCCCTTTATCTCCCCTGCTCTTTGTATCAACCTTGGAACCTTTCTTACGACGGTTGAAATCTAACGCCAAG